CCTCTCCTCACCAGCCCACACTGGGCAGTGCACACAGGTCACACCCAAGGGTAACAGCCCCATGGCCCGAGGTGGGCATTCCTCATGTTGAGTCTGGTGGTCCTCACGGCACGCGGCACACCCTTCCTTAGTTCTGATTCTACTCTTGCCACTGAGGGGGCAGCAGGTGAGCCCAGGCGGTCAGCTCCAGACCGTGTGCCCAAGCGCTGCCCGCCACGGCCTCCCACGGCGTCCAGCCGTGGCCTTGGTGTCCTCAGAGTGGTGGTCACAGGTCACAGACGCAGGGACCCAGTGTGACAGACACGTCCTGTGGGAACGGGCGCTGAGGCGGGGATGAAAACAGCCCCTGGAAGGGCTTAGCTGGAAAGGGGGCGCAGCTGTTTTCTCCTGGGGCGATGCAGCCGGTTTTCACACTTGGAGGAGGCGGCGGCCAGGCGGAGGCGGAGGAAGCTGGTGACAGCCAGAAGCAGGCCCTCGCCAGACTCTGGTGCTTGTTGGTTCTTTAAAATCGTGAACTGAAGCACGCGGACCGGAGCGTACAGGAGCTTGTTTGCACGGCTGAAAGATGAGTGACCCCCGAAGGGCTCTCAGCCGCACCCCCAAGAGGCGGCCTGGATGCCTGCCCTGGTCAACCCCTCTTCCCGCTGCCCGAATCAGCCTGATCTGGAAGGTACGTTTTTACCCAGACCCCTGCGGGTGACATTGCTTGGTGTCACCCAGTTTTGGTCTCTGGGATGGGGTTTCCCTCGGTGTTTAGCGACCTGTGTTCCCCGGCGTTGTGTTCCTGAGAGTCCCCGGGCTGACGGGCGCCTGCCTCTGTCAGGGACGCAGCGGCGCTGGGGACAGGCTTCCGTGTCTATCCGTTCTGCACCGTGGAAGCCCCTGCCTTGCCTGGCGGTGACAGGACGCTCTGCCCGTGGCCTGGACACCCTCGTGAGTGCCCCTCCAGCATCCGGTGCCCCCGCGGGCTGGTCGCCCAGTGCTGACAACGTCTTCTAAAGTGGCTGTAAACTCCGTCCGCGCCCACATGTGGGGCCCTCCTGCCCCTCACCCGCGGCCTGGACGCCGCCTGACTGCTTAGCTTTGGCAGATACTGTTGAAATAAATGGTCTAATTGTTTTTAATTTCCGTTTACCTGACTTCTAATGAGGCTGATTTGGCTGAATTTTGGGGCTTCTGTATGTGCCCGAATGTTCGTACTTTGTTGATTGGGATTGTGGTGAAGGCACAGAGGTATTCGGAGAACTGTGTCTTTACAGCCGGACCCCCTCCGCCCACGTGGTCACCTCAGCCGGTCACCTCAGCCGGACCCCCTCACCCACGAGGTCACCGCAGCCGGACACCCCTCCGCCCACACGGTCACCTCAGCCGGTCACCTCAGCCAGACCCCCTCACCCATGAGGTCACTGCAGCCGGACCCCCTCCGCCCACACGGTCACCTCAGCCGGACCCCCTCACCCACGCGGTCACCTCAGCCGGACCCCCCACCCACACGGTCACCTCAACCGGACCCCCTCAGCCCATGCGGTCACCTCAGCTGGACCCCCTCCGCCCACACGGTCACTGCAGCCAGTCACTGCAGCCGGACCCCCTCCGCCCACACGGTCACCTCAGCCGGTCACCTCAGCCGGACCCCCTCCGCCCACGTGGTCACCTCAGCCGGACCCCCTCACCCACGAGGTCACCGCAGCCGGACACCCCTCCGCCCACGCGGTCACCTCAGCCGGACCCCCTCACCCACGAGGTCACTGCAGCCGGACCCCCCTCTGCCCACGCGGTCACCTCAGCCGGACCCCCTCACCCACGAGGTCACTGCAGCCGGACCCCCCTCCGCCCACGCGGTCACCTCAGCCGGACCCCCTCACCCACGAGGTCACCGCAGCTGGACCCCCCTCCACCCACGCAGTCACCTCAGCCGGACCCCCTCACCCACGAGGTCACCGCAGCTGGACCCCCCTCCGCCCACGCGGTCACCTCAGCCGGACCCCCTCACCCACGCGGTCGCCTCTCCCCGCATGCAGATCTTCACTCCTGTCTCAGTGAAGTTTCGCAGTGTTTCCCTCAATAGGTCTGTGTCTCTTTTATTCGATTTTTACAGTTTAAATGCTTTTTTCTGTGGGGCTCAGGGGCTCAGGTCAGCACTTTGGGAGGCTGAGGAGGGTGGATCACGAGGTCGGGAGTTAGAGACCAGCTTGGTCAACCTGGTGAAGCCCCATCTCTAGTAAAAACACAAACGTGAGCCTGGCGTGGCGGCGGCAGCTGCAGTCCCAGCTCCTCCGGGAGGCTGAGGCAGGAGAATCGCTGGACACCCGCTGCGGAGGCTGCGGTGAGCCGAGATCACATCGCCGCCCTCCAGCCTGAGCAACAGGGCGAGGCTCGTCTCAAAAACATAAACACTTTCTTCAGGAAGATGGAAATGCGATTGATCGTGAGTGCTGGGCTTGCTACGTTTTATTGTAACTAATAAGGTGGGTGTGAACCCTGCCGCGTTTCTGTGCTTGTGTCTTGTTTCTCACTGTGTTATCTTCTCCCGTTTGTGACTATGCTGCTGTGGCCGTCACCCCGCTCCTTCCACAGCCACGTCAGTTCCTCTCGGGGCCTCACCGCGCAATCGACAGGGTCACCCTCCACATCCGCACCGTGGCCTCCGGTCTGGGCAACGGCAATTCGGCTTCAATGTGAGTTTTGGGAGGGAGTCTAACCGTGCAGCCGCGGTTTGCGAGGGGCCTTCGTCTCCTTTCCAGAGGGTGTTGAATTATCTCCCTACAAATGCTTTGTCTGTCTCTGGGAGGGTCTCTGTCTCTCCGTTTTCCTACGTCTCTGTCTCTCTCTGTCTTTCTCTGTCTCTCTGTTTTCCTATGTCTCTGTCTCTCTCTGTCTTTCTCTGTCTCTCTGTTTTTCTATGTCTCTGTCTCTCTCTGTCTCTCTGTTTTCCTATGTCTCTGTCTCTCTCCGTCTCTCTGTTTTCCTATGTCTCTGTCTCTCTCTGTCTTTCTCTGTCTCTCTGTTTTCCTATGTCTCTGTCTCTCTCTGTCTTTCTCTGTCTCTCGGTTTTTATATGTCTCTGTCTCTCTGTTTTCCTATGTCTCTGTCTCTCTCTGTCTCTGTTTTCCTATGTCTCTGTCTCTCTCTGTCTTTCTCTGTCTCTCTGTTTTCCTATGTCTCTGTCTCTCTCTGTCTCTCTGTTTTCCTATGTCTCTGTCTTTCTCCGTCTCTCTGTTTTCCTATGTCTCTGTCTCTCTCTGTCTTTCTCTGTCTCTCGGTTTTTCTATGTCTCTGTCTCTCTCTGTCTCTCTGTTTTCCTATGTCTCTGTCTCTCTCCGTCTCTCTGTTTTCCTATGTCTCTGTCTCTCTCTGTCTCTGTTTTCCTATGTCTCTGTCTCTCTCTGTCTCTCTGTTTTCCTATGTCTCTGTCTCTCTCTGTCTCTCTGTTTTCCTATGTCTCTGTCTTTCTCCGTCTCTCTGTTTTCCTATGTCTCTGTCTCTCTCTGTCTTTCTCTGTCTCTCGGTTTTTCTATGTCTCTGTCTCTCTCTGTCTCTCTGTTTTCCTATGTCTCTGTCTCTCTCCGTCTCTCTGTTTTCCTATGTCTCTGTCTCTCTCTGTCTCTGTTTTCCTATGTCTCTGTCTCTCTCTGTCTCTCTGTTTTCCTATGTCTCTGTCTCTCTCTGTCTCTCTGTTTTCCTATGTCTCTGTCTTTCTCCGTCTCTCTGTTTTCCTATGTCTCTGTCTCTCTCTGTCTTTCTCTGTCTCTCGGTTTTTCTATGTCTCTGTCTCTCTCTGTCTCTCTGTTTTCCTATGTCTCTGTCTCTCTCCGTCTCTCTGTTTTCCTATGTCTCTGTCTCTCTCTGTCTCTGTTTTCCTATGTCTCTGTCTCTCTCTGTCTCTCTGTTTTCCTATGTCTCTGTCTCTCTCTGTCTTTCTCTGTCTCTCGGTTTTTATATGTCTCTGTCTCTCTGTTTTCCTATGTCTCTGTCTCTCTCTGTCTCTCTCTGTCTCTCTGTTTTCCTATGTCTCTGTCTCTCTCTGTCTCTGTTTTCCTATGTCTCTGTCTCTCTGTTTTCCTATGTCTCTGTCTCTCTCTGTTTTCCTATGTCTCTGTCTCTCTGTTTTCTTATGTCTCTGTCTCTCTCTGTCTCTGTTTTCTTATGTCTCTGTCTCTCTCTGTCTCTGTTTTCCTGTGTCTCTGTCTCTCTCTGTCTCTCTGTTTTCCTATGTCTCTGTCTCTCTGTCTTTCTCTGCCCCTGTGTCTCCGACGCTGTCTCGGGCTCTCGGGCTCTCCCTCACAGGAACGGCGGCCACAGCTCTCTCGGAATGCTGGACGGCAGCGTGTTGGGAAGTCTGTCCGCCGTCTGGGCTGAGGGCAGCCTCTCTGTCTCGCCGTTTAGCGCCGTAGTGTATTTGCTGAAGGTTTTTTGGAGACAAACTTTATCCAGTTCAGGAAACTCCTTTCTGTTCTTAGCCTGCTGGTAACTTTTTCGTGACCGGCCGTCAAATGCTGCAGGTGCCACTCTGCCTTGGTGCAGGTGCCACGTGGGTTTCTTCTTGGCTTGGCGAGCAGGGCTCCAGGAAGGTGGGGCCCGTGTCCGTGTTCACTGCTGAGCCCACTGCCTGGAAGTCACTGTTTACGAAACACCTGGTGCGTCTGGCTCCGCTCTGAGCCTCGACGTCCTCATCTGGAAAACGGGTCCCTCTCGGTGATCTGGGCTGGAAACCTGGGATGCAGGGCAGAGCCAGCTGGGCTGGAGGTGGAGGTGACAGCAGGGACCAGAGGCCACTGTGGCACAGCAGGGGAGTGAGGGGCCGGCACTGGCCATGGGGCCTCTGACGGACCTCTGCTCTCCTGCTGAGCGCCCAGGAGATGTCCCAGAAAGGACGGCAGCTCCATTGAGATCTTGAATCTCAGAGACGACCTTCAGAGAACCCCTCCCAGGGCTCTGACACGAGGTGCCCACGGGGTCTTCAACTCACCTGTGAACACCTGGGGTCCTCTGAGGGCAACTCTGCACCCCCCTGCAGTTCCATGGCAGTGGGAGCCCAGCAGGACTGGGGGCTGAGGACCCTCCGGTGCGGCTCAGGACCATGGAAGGGGCAGGGGAGGCGAGGGGCTCCCTGCAGAAAATGCCAGCCCTCCCCGAAAGACTCTTCAGGGCTGCGGGCGGACGTGGGTGGAAACCCACCCACCTGCTTCAATCCTGACCTCGCTCACAGATCTGCGCCTCCCTTTGAAGTCCGCTTAGGTCTCGCCCTGCCTTGGAGCTCCTATGCCCGTGAGTGGGGCAGAAATTCCCAGCGTCCTCGTGGGGAGGGTCTCGGGGCTCAAAGCTCCAGCCAAGAGCGACTAGGGCTCCGGCGTTTCATAAATAATTACACATTCCTTCAACTCTCACAAAGCCAAGAGAAAACAAACCCGCAATGCCGAGATTCCTGGAATGACTTCCAGTGACCTGGGCCAGGCGGAGGCGGGGTCAGCTGGGTGGGACTCGGGACAGTCCCCTTTCCCCTTTCTCTCTTCATTTCCTGGGCACCAGTCCCCTTTCTTGTGGCATTTTAGTTAAAAGACCTGAAAGGGGAATGAAAGGCACTTGAGGACTGTGGTGCCCGTCAGGGCCCCGGACGGTGGGGAAGCCTGCCCGGTCCTGGACAACCCCATGGAGCTGTACCCTGGCACTGACCTCAAGGAGAACCCACAGAGGCTGCGGTCTCCATTCACTGTGTCCCCTCCAGGGTTGCTTTAGGTGTGAGAGTCTCCTTTGGACGCCCCAGGAATTGCCTCTGACCCCCAGTCTGGAGCTCCTGTTCTGAGCAGGGGCCCTGGGATTGCCCTTGAGCCCCTGCCCTGAGCTCCTGCTCCGAACAGGGGGCATCCCTGGATGTGCCCTCATTCCTTTGAGGTTTGCTGTGGCTCGCACCGCAGCTTAATCCGACTCACCCCAGCCGGCTAGGGCGGTTTCCTGTTACAAACACAGGCTTAGTTTTAAGATCAAACAACTGTTTTGGTTCTGGTCTGATCTCGCGGGGGGTGTGGTGCCACTCCCGGTGCAGCCCGGCCAAGGGGTGATGTCAGGTCATGTTGGCTTCATCGCCGAGCACTGTAGCCTCCTCTGTGTCCACCGTCCCCACCCAGCCGCCCCCTCTAGCCGCTGTGCCCCAGGTTCCACTCAGCAGTGGGTCATCGGCCCCTCTGCCATCCTCGCCACGGATGCCCAGCCTTATTTGTTTGGGGTATGTCTGGGCCATTCCACCCACTCCTCCTGAGGGCTCTCCTCTCCCCTGCCCCGTGTGGTCGGCGTCCATCTCTGAAGTGCAGGAAGCAGGAAGCAAAGCCTGCTTTTGGGAAGGACCCTGGGCTCTGGCCAGGACGGCTTTGGGGCTAAGCCAGAAAGGAGGGCGTGTGGAAGCCGTTTGGGATGCCAGGTCAGAGGGGAGGGGGCTGCTCACACGGGGCCATTGTATTGTAAATTTTCAGGGCTCCCTTCTACCCTTCTTCTCTGGCTAGCTTTCTAGCAAGGCCAAGACGTGACATTCTCATTCTGTTTGGAGCAGGATGAGGGGCTTGTGTCCTAACACCGCCAAGTGTGGACGGGGCTGGGAACTGCACATGGCTGCCACCTGCTGCGGGGGTGGCGCCCGGGAGTGTCCCTCGGAGAATGTCAGGCTGGCAGGGCGAGTGAGGTCCAGCCATGGGGCCCCTGCTCAGCCCCGAGGACGCCCACCCTCCCCACACTGGCACAGGGTCTCAGCGAGAGACTTCGGCACTCGGGGAAAGGCCATTTTGTCATTGACTGGAAGTTTCTCAAGAAAGCATTTTCCATTCGCGTTTCCACGGAGGTCGGCTTTGCTGGAGACCACAGGACCCTGCCCTCCACCAGACGCAGTGTGCAGAGGCGTGTGCCCGAAACCGAAATGCGGCATCACACGGCTCTTTCATCTGGAGCCAAACTCTCGGGAAACAAACCAGACAGACGCAGGTACGTGCTCAGCTCTGCAGCTGCGGTTTGGTTCATGACTAGGGCCGTGCAGATGCCTGGTAACCCAGCTGAGCCTCGCCACGCCTCCGGGGAACATGGCGCTGGGAGCCTGAGGGCTGGGAGCAGGTGCCCGGGAGAGCTTGGGTGGCTCTGGATGGACTGGATGTTCCCGCTGTGGCGCTGCTGTCTAGGGGGAGGAAAAGCAGCGTGGATGGGAAACAGAGCAGGCGCGTTCTGTCCAATGAACCCACACGTGGGCGGCTGCGTTCAGTGCTCCCCGGCTCGGGGACCCTAAGCCGTAAGCTGAACACCACATTCGAAAGCCAGGGCGGTCACGACACCCGCGTGCGGCGTCCAAAGGCTAACTCGAGGCTGCGGTCCCTGCTGAGCACGCGGTCATTCAACCTGGGGAAGCGATGCCGGGAGACTCTTCTATTCAGATGACGTGAGGGTAAGGGGCAGAGAATGCCAGCGGTTGCACCTGACAAGTCTCCGGGCATTTGGCCAAGGGCAGAGCTCGGCTCCCCACCCCTACCCCTGCCCCCCACAGGACAAACCCCCTTTGGTCTCCAAGTCCAACTGATCTCACACTCACACAGCAGGACAGCCACTTTCCAACCCCAAAAGGCCACTCCCCCACAATGGGGCCAGGACAGAGATGATCATAGTCCTCAAGCCACTATGGGAACTTGGGTCACAAAGTGCCCCAATGCCCAGTTTTCCCCCCACCTGTTCCCCCCCCCCCGGGAAATGGCTCCATGTTGGCAGTGTGAGGCATCAAATAGCTGAGACTTGGGGAGTGCCTGTGGCCAAGTCAGGGAACTGCCTGCCAGCCAGGCCCAAATTGAAGATGATGGCCAGGGCTCCAGGCATCAGGACCCCAGTGGGCTGCCAAGTCATCAGGCCATAAAAGTGTGGGGCCAGCCAGGGTTTCAGAGGCAGCTCTTCCACTGTCACTCCGATGCTGTGAAGAGAGCCCAGGGCTGCAGGTGGGGAGGGTGTGTGTGCGTCCCCCAATGGAGGTGACGCCTGGGGCTCTCCTTCCTGCTGCCCAAGTCAGATGCCACTCTGCTGGCCCATCTCCCGTGCCACGCCACCCCCCATTCCCTTCTCACCGCAGGAAGCTCCCTCATCCTCATAAAAGCAAGAGGGCCACCTCCACACCGTCCTGCTTTTCTGGACGCCATGACCAGGATGGGACAGGACCCAAGAACCCACACATGAGACCACACTAAGACCCTAAAGAGTCTGAGCTTCTCCAGAGCGGCTGCTGACTCATGCACACCCGGCCTGGTGTGCCCACCCCACCCAGTATGCTCCTTGCCTGGTGAGTGTCCCCTTCCGGTGAGTGGCCCCCACCCAGTGAGTGCCCCCCACCCACTGAGTGCCCCCCAGCCGGTGAGTGCTCCCCGCCATGTGAGTGTTCCCCGTCTGGTGTGAGAGCCCACCTGGTCTTCCCCCCCGCCCACCTGGTGTGAGCGCCCAGGTCAGCTAGGCTGCAGCGTTCTCAGGAAGTCCAGGCACCCGCCCCAGCCCCTGGCGACCCTCTTCTCAGCAGGTCTGAACCTAGAGCCACACGGGGCATCCCCAGCACTTCCTGCCCCTGGGATTCCCATTCCTGATTCACCTGAGCCCAGACCACACGTGGCAGACAGGTTCCGGCCCAGACCCGACGCCTCCATCTGCTTGGGCCACTGGCTTCCCTCAGACACTGACCCTCAGAACAGACGGTTTCCTGCAAACCTGTGCCACCCCGTTTTGTCCAGTAAATGCTGTTATTTGTAAGCAGCTCGATGATGTGGTTTTCCTGGCTTTGCCGCACGTCACCCCCGAGGCTGCGGCTCCGCTGCTGCTGCCCGCGCTCGCCCCGTGGCTCCTGCAGAGGCCTCCTCCCCACCCTCGACTCACAGTAGCCACGCGGGCTGGGCTTCTCTCCTCTGCCACCTCCTCCCATGTCACCTTGTGATGATGACAGAGGGCCCAGGGGACTGCGGTCATCATCCCTGCTTGTGGTGCTGGGACTCAGAGCTGCAGCCTCCGCCCTAGTGCGTGGCTGTGCGTGGGATGCGGGGTTGTGGGGGCGGGATGCGGGATGGGGTGGCCACGCTCCAGCCATCAGCGGGCCTTTGACACCGTTTTGAATCTTCCCATGATGCTGTGATGATTCTAACTAACTCCTTAGGTTCCACTCCTAGGAACAGACCTCGGAGGTCAGGAGGTGAGAGCTTCCAACCCGCTCGGCCGAAGCTTCAGAGCGCACGTGCCGTTTCTCTGCCTTTGCCTCCTGTCTTTCCATTGAGGTAACCAGCTGTTCCCTGCTCCTGTCTGGGCTGTGGCGGGCAGCCTGTCTCCTGCAGACGACACCCCCAGAACTGCCCCAGGCTCCACACGACACCATCCGGCATCAGGACCTGCCAGGCACCCTCTCTCAGCATGGCCACAGCCACCACGTGGACTAAAGGCACAGAGTCTCCCTGCCAGGTGGGAGGGCACGGCTGCATGGGGCTGTCCGCTCTCACTGATCCCTGGAGCTCTAACGTCCTCAGGGTCCCGGGGCCCACTTCTGCCCAGCAGCACTGGGTCACAGGAGCCCAGCTTCAGGTGCAGACAAGGACCCAAAGTCAGCCCCAGCTCCTCTGATGCTGAACTTCGGCGGACCTCAGCGTTTCCAGGCGAGCTCCAGCCGCAGGGTCCCTGGAGGCGCTGCACAGGACCAGCTCCCTGCTGGGCCCCTCGACGCCATCCTGAAAAGGGGTTCTTAGTCTTCCCATTTTGCTATGATAATAAAAATTATATCTTTAATAGATATTATTTTACATGTGAAACAAACACAGTCATATCATTATTACTTAAAACTTCAGCAGATGAGGGCAGGACTCCAGGTGTTCCGTGCCCAGCGGGTCCTGCAGGCCCGGAGCCTCCGACCCTGCCACTCACTCAGGTCCACAGTCGCCATTCACCCCATGCACCCACACCCATTGCCTGGCGACGGCCTGCCCAGCCCCGCCCACGACACGAGGCGGCCACTCCAGGTTCCTGAAGGACTAGCTGAGGAGCTGGAGGGCAGCCGGCTCCCAGGCCTGGCCCCGCCATGTCAGCAGAGCGCTTCAGTGCAGCTCCAACACCCTTGCTGAAGACAGCGGCCTCGGGAGCCTGTTTGGGGGCATGGGAGAGTCTACCGGGCTCACAGGGGCCCCACGTGCTGCAGACGCGCTGCCCACAGATACGGCCACTTCGCCTGGTGTCAGCCGGAGGCAAGACAGTGGGCTGGAGGTCATAGAACGGGAGGAGGAACGCCCATCCTGAGGGTGTCTTGTAATCATTTGGGGTAACAGACCCGTGAGTGTGGCGAGCCCTCCCTGACCCAACACATGCATCCCTGAGATGAGAGTGTGGGCCAATAACTCCAGATACATGAACACACACACGCCTCCACGGGGAAGCAACGCAAGGAACTCCCAACGTCTGTCTTGTCAGAGAAGCCGGTGCGCGTCAGGAAGAAGCCACTGATAGACGTGTGCCTGTGAATGCAGAGACTCCCCTGATACGAGGGAGGAAGAGGAGGGTGAGGATGGGAATGAGGATGAAGGATGAGGGTGAAGATGCGGATGGGATTAGGATGAGGATGAGGCTGAATTATGAAGGATCAGGGTGGGTATGGAGAATGAGGATGAGGAAGGGCTTTAGGATGAGGATGAGGATGGAGGATGAGGGTGAGGATGGAGGTGAGGATCAGGAAGAGGATGAGGATGGGATAAGCATGAGGATACAGATGAGATTAGGGAATGCGGATGGGCGTGAGGGCGAGAATGTGAACGGGTGACCTCTGAATCCAATGGTGAGTGTCCTCCTAGCGGAAAACAGGACACACGGATACACAGGAAGGCGGCCATGTGGTCAGGGAGGGAGAGGTGGAGCAGTGTGGCCAAAGCCCAGGAACAGCTGGGGCCCCAGAGGCTGGGAGAGGCAGGAAGTGTCCTTCCCTGGAGCCTCTGGAGGGAGCTCAACCCTGCAGATCAAACCTGCTGATTTCAGATGTGACCTCCATGGCCGTGGGAGAAGGCGCGTCTGCTGCTCAAGCCTCAGCCTGTGGTGCTTTGTTACGGCAGCCCTGGGACACTGGTGCCCCCATCCTGCTGCCAGGAGTGAGGAGGGGCCCTGGGTCAGAGTGATGAGGTCGGGGCTGGGATGTTCCAGGCTTCCCAGTGGCCCGTGGCGTCCCACCAGCCCGAGTTCATCTGGCTAAGGCAGCTCACAGCTCTCCAGGGCTCGTGGCAGCACAGCTCGTGGCTTCTGAGCAGGTCACGGGCTGCGAGGGGCTGGCTTTCCCTCACTGGCGTGGGCGTCAGCACTGTCTGGCACCTGCAGCACCCTTGGGAGTGGGGGACCAGGACCCAGCGCTTTCCTCAGACCTCCAGGTCTCCCGGGCACGGGGTCAACGGGAATGACCCCGCAGAAAGCCCACACCCCAGGCGCTGACCACCGTCCCCTGGGGATTTCCGTCTGCCACATGCTCTTCTCAAGAGCTCTCTCTGATGGGCTTGGGAGACGTCACCAGCCCTGGGGTTCTCCAGTGTGGAAGTGGAGGTACGGTGTGGCCTGGGGCATCTGGGACTGTCTCTCCGGGTCCTGGCTAGGGAGGCCATCCTGGGGGTCCCAGGGAGCAGCCACAGCCTTAGATGCAGGTGGAGCCGTGGGGTTCACCCCGGTGTCCCCCTCGGTAAGGACAAGACCGGCACAGGGTCCCTTTTGCAGCACGATGCTGAGGAAGGAGTCCTCGGCGCAGGCGTCACTCAAACGAAACTTGGAGGCCTCTTTGAGAACGAGGTCAGGGCTGAGGCCTCGCAGGCTGGCTCCTCTCCTCCCGGCATTCACCGTCCCCTGGTTCACTGGCCATGCTGGGAACCAGCGACAGAGGTGGGACCGGGGCTGGAGAAGAGGGGCCGCACGGGCAGCTCTCCGGTCTGAGCCAGTTCGGGTGCCCACGTCCGTTCGCCCGGAGACCTCCTCACACCGGCTCTGCCCCCACGGGTGTTCTTCAGCTGCGAAGGGACCCTGAGTTAGACTCTGTTTCCTGAGCCCGCTGCTAGGGCTGCAGAGTGAGGAGCTCCCGGGAGGCCGACGTTCCTTTTGGGCTCCACACGGAGGTTTTTGGAGATCGTGAAGCTCGCCGAGAACATGGGAGAGATGCAATTCCTAAGGCGCCCCAGGCAGGTCCTCTGTCCATCCCACTTCCTTCCTGCGGTCACTTCCTCTGCTGAAAGCCTCTCTCCCTGCGGGGCGGGCTCTGGGCCTTGGTGGCAGGGAGGGGGTGACTGGCTTCAACATTCCCCAGGGACTGGGAAGTATTTCCTCGCACAGTTCATTCCAGTGGGTTCACCAAATGGAGGGCCCTGAGGGGCATTAATGCTCAGCACACTGCCAGTGACACCCTAAAGACACACCCAGGTGCCTCCAGCTGCCGGGAGCTTGTTCCGCTCTGTGGGGATGCAGGGGCCCATCAGGCCTTCTGTCTGAGGTGCCAGGACGCTCAGGGCTACCCCCACGCTGCGATCTGTCCCTGCCTGGCCACCACCTGCTGGAAGGGCAGCCCCGAAGGCCCCTCCAGCTCGGTGTCCACACCCCCGACTGAGGCTGGCCTTTTCACAGCCTTGGGGCAGCCCCCATTGCACCCTCCAGGAAGGACACAGGATCCAGAGAGGGCGACGTGCCCTCCACGGAAATGCGGCTGCCGCAGCTTCTAAGGGGATCCTCGGGGCCACTGTGGGGCCACTTGCCAAGCTCTTCTCCCTTCTCTGTCTCTCCCTGGACCTGCTGCGTCCTCTGGAACCCAGCCCGCCGCTCTCCTCAGCAGCCTCCACACACGGGTGTGGCCATGAAGCCGCTTTTCTTCCAGGGAAGTGAGGGGAGGGAGGTCAGCCCCTCCCGACAGGGCCACGTGGGTCCCTCAGACAGCCCCAGGGACCGTGGAAGCCTCTGCCACGGCTGGATGTGAAGGACGTCCTTCCTAGCCATCCACTGCTACGTAAAAGCAACTCCCAAAGTCAACAGCAGGTAACAAGTGCTTCCTCCCTCAGCAGAATCTGAATGAAAGAGGGGAATGGGGGATGCTCACACCAGTGGGGCCCCAGGGCGCTCAGAGCAGCCGCATCATGGGGTGCTGAGGTCTACAGAGGTGACAGAGGACACGGGGGTCTCGGCAGGCTGCCTCTACTTCCCTCAGCATACAGTGGGTGGGCAGGGTGGAGGGGGGTGAGCTGGCCCGGGGCCTCGCTCCCCTCCACATGGAAACAGCGCCAAGACCCACGCGCCCCTGCCTTAGGGACCCCGGCCTCACCCACTGCTGTCCACATGACCCCCACACCCTCGGCTCTCATCTGGGCCACAGGAAGGGCTCCTAGAGGGCGCTGCCCACCCGGCCCACCCCTGAGCTTCCCTGGTGGACTGGTTGGGCCAGCAGAAGCCACAACCACCTCTCATGGTCACCGCAGAATGGGTCAGGGTGTCAGGTGACTCTCAGGGACTTGGAGCAAGGACAGAATATGACCCCCCAGATGAGGGGTGGAAAATGTCCCACCAGACACAGGTGGCACCAGGACAGCACCTCCCCAGACCCCAGAGACCCGAGGAACCACCAGGACAGTCAGACCCCAGAGACCTGAGCCGCCAGGACAGCCAGACCCCCATGCCCTGCTCAGTGTCTGCCGTAGTGACCCACGGGCCCTATGCTTCACTTCATTATGGGTAGTTTTGACCCTGGTCACCTGGCTACGGTAGGGTCTGCCCACTTCCCCCCCACCTCCGTAAAGTTACTATTCTTCATTTGCAATTTATTGATTTTATTTGCTTATTTTGGAACAGAGTCTCTCACTCAGTCTGGAGTGCAGTGGTGCAATCTCAGCTCCCTGCAACCTCCACCTCCCGGGTAAAGCGATCCTCTCACCTCAACCTCCCAAGTAGCTGGGGCTGCGGGTGTATGCCACCGTGCCCAGCTAATTTTCATATTTTTTTCGAGTCGGGGTTTTGCCTGTTGCCCAAGCTTCTCTGGAACACCTGAGCTCAGGCGATCTGGGAGAGACTCTGAGACCACACTCCTACTTCTGCCCAAACTCTCTTCCGCTGATCTTAGCATCAGTTGCTGGGTTTTTTCTGCAACAGTGATGCGGTGTTTCCACACAGCTCTGCTGGAATTCCTCTGAAGGAAGGGCCGCCCCTCCCCCGACTGACTGATTTATTTATCGTGCCTCCACGTGGACTTGCGTATTTGTGCTTTGGGAGACCATCCCACGCTGCCATTATTTACTTACCCAGCTCTGGAGACTGGGGTCTTCCCCCAAATCCATCACTTCTCCCAGGAGCCCCGCTCTTCTTTACCAGAGAACGAGCCTTAGAGACCAAGGTCGGACACTAGGTGTGCTCCTGGCTGCTGGGATGTCCCTGAGCAAACAGAAATGTGAATAGCAGATTCGCCTGTCATTTTAATCAGCATTTATTGGTGGGAAAATGAAGGAATGAATGAAGGAACAATTATTCAAAATACTCAAAAGATGGATGTTGAGTAAAAGACACTTCCTCTTTGTAAGAAATAATTTAAGTGTCAAGGAACATGTGTCTAACTGATGGTGCTTCTCGGCGTTTTCCTGTGTGGAAGGCGCGGTGACGGCTGAAACATGGAGGGACACCCAGAGGCAACGAGAAATGCTGAACATCACAAAGCGAAACAAAGCCACCCATCTGAAACAAACCTCCAAGTCTACCAGAAAGAAAGAC